GTGTGTGTGTGTGTGTGTGTGTGTGTGTGTGTGTGTGTGTGTGTGTGTGTGTGTGTGTATATGCGTGCGTGTGTGTGTGCGTGCGTGCGTGCGTGAGTACGTGCGTGGGAAGGCATTGCGTAATTGCGTAGTTGTGTTCGAATAAGGGAAAAGTAGTACTAACATAAAGATAATCCGTGACCGATGTTGTCCGTGCTTGCAGTATCGTGGATTGCCTCAGTACACGTGTACACATATCAATTCACCACATAGATATATTCACAACATATAATATAGCTCTCGCGCCTCTACACAGAAACACATACACACGCACACGCACACGCGCACACGCACGCGCACGCGCACACGCACGCGCACGCGCACGCACGCACGCGCACACGCACACGCACACGCACGCACGCACGCACGCACGCACGCACGCACACATATATATATATATATATTCACAACATATAATATAGCTCTCGCACCTCTACACAGAAACACATACACACGCACGCGCACGCACACGCACACGCACACGCACGCACGCACGCACGCACGCGCGCATGCACACATATATATATATTAGGACCTGCCACCTCCGTGATCACCGCACACGTACTTCTCATCCAGTCTCGACAGAATCGTCTTCGTCTTCAGAAACAGCTCGGCGTCGTCGCGAACTATGTCGATCTTCTGCCAGATGACGTCACTCGGAAAGTCCGCCTGCCCGTCGGCGGTTGTCTGCCACAGCTCGGGCACGTGCATCGCCGCCGCCGTCAGGTCCGACTCGGACTTCGTCTCGACGTCGCCGTAAACGAGCGTGAATCCCGGCGTGCGTCTGTTACGCAGCTTCCCGATGCCGACAACTATCTTCTGCAGGAGGTCTTTGATCTCGGCCGGCGGGCTGCTGAGATAGTGCGCCGCTGGCGGCACCTTGCCGCGATGCAGCGCCGCTTCGATCACCGAGTCCCCTCCTCCCCGCGAGTGCGGCCTGCCCTCCAGCTTCCCCTCGAGTATCCGCAGCGTCTTCTCCTCGATGTGCAACTCGACGGCATGGAGGTTCGCCGGGAGGTCCGTCTCGATTTCGAACGCCGTGGCGGCCATCTTGCGAGCGAGATCTGCGAGGTCGTTGTTGTGCAGTGCGCTCGCGAACACGTCGTATGTTCGGTTGTCCTTCTCGAGTAGTATGTGCACGAGCTTAGCTGCTCGCTCGGCCGGCGTCGGCTGCAAGGACGAACACAGATATACCGCTGCGCGTAACGTAGTGCGTGTAAATAAAGGGCATGTGTATGTGTAAATAAATATAAGGGAGTCTCTGTGCGGTTCGGTGCCGCCCTCATGCGGCTATGTTGTATGAAAAAAAGTTCAAGGTAAAAGTATTAGTGGAGTGATATCTACGCGAGGGTATTGCGGCTATCGTAGAATACTTCGATGGCGGAATGTCACACCTGTTGCGTTTAGAGCCCATATCCATTGCTGGCGCAGCTAAGAAAACATCCGGAAACGACTTTGGAGTGTGCGATTTTAACTTGGCCGGGGTGTACGATCAACTGTGTACACTAAGGCACGGTATACTCCCACATACGTAGTCACTGTGCGCATGGAAGAAAGGGGGATGGGGGAGTGGCTCATTACTATAGGAGGTGTACAACAGTAAGCTTCCGCAATTGTTCACCGTTGCACTATTTCTTCTCTAGAAACGGCCTTTTTTGGCATTTTTTTTCGCCGAAATTCGGCACTAGAGTGCAATAATTTGCATTATGCACGCAAGGAAGATGCCTCGTGGGCGTCTAGAAAGAATTAGAAGTAAAATTATTCGTGTTGTGTAATTGTGCCATTCCAGCTAGTGGCGTAGCCATAGTCGCCGGTCGGCCTTTTTTGTGTATGAAACGGGATCCGACTACTCTGTAGAAATTCGCATCATAGAGCTGGCAAAAGTTTCGAGCGGAGCATAGAGCACGAATCTGTAGTTATTTAAAATGAATAAAGTGTATGTTTTGTAAGCGCAGTAACAGTGTGCGTATTTTTAATTAATTTCTGTTCGATGCTTATTCAGGCCTGTAGCCTATGGACGCCCTCTACTGTTGTTCAACACCTACTATACAACGCGTGGCTAATGTCACGCTAGCAGACGACAATTACCTTGGCGCTGATGATGTCATAGATGTGTTGCCCTACGACGCCTTCCTCCAGCAGCCGCGCGAGAATCGCCGCCAGGTGGGGCTGCGTCCTCTCGACTATCTCGTCGCGGTTTTTGATGAGTGATTCACGTTTTGCGGCATCCATGTTTCTGAGCGGCGGTTTCTGAAATAACCGATGTTGATATAGAGTCCTCATTCGCCAAGCTCTCTCTCTCTCTCGCTCTATATCTATCTATCTATTTGTGTCTCTCGCTCTCTCGCTCTACTCTCGCTCTCTCTATCTCTCTTTCTTTCTTTCTTTCTCTCTCTCTCTCTCTCTCTCTATCTGTCTATCTATCTCTGGCTCTCTCTATCTCTCGCTCTCGATGATAATACATGAACATATAATGATCGCATAAAAACAATATAGGCCTACTATCAGGGGCGAATTAAAACAAATTTGTTTAATTCACTCCTGATACTAAGGCAATATACACTGTACACATACACGCGCTATAAAGATACTGTATACTACAGCCGATAACGACTTTAACCTGGCTAACTTGAAGTTAGAATGGCCGAACGGTAATTGCGGGGACTTGGCTGGTGCCCCTGGTGGCTATCTATAGCTGTATAATGTCCTTGTTGATGAAAGTATTTATGACGCTTATATAACACTTATTGACGCGCATACTGTACACATACACGCGCTATAAAGATACTGTATACTACGGTTGATAACGACTTTAACCGGGCTAACTTAGTAAAGTTAAATGGTCGAACGGTAAACGTGGCGACTTATATAACTTCACGGGCGTTTATTCTCCTGGTGGCTATCTATAGCTGTATAATGTCCTTGTTGATGAAAGTATTTATGACGCTTATATAACGCTTATTGACGCGTATAAGTTTATCGTCAAGCAACTGTACCCTCTGCAGTCCCGCTCTCTTTCCTCCTCGCACACACACACGCACACGGATGCACGCACACGGATGTACGCACGAACGCACGCGCGGACGCATACACGCGCGCACAAATGCACGCGTACACACACACACACACACACACACACACACACACGCGCGCGCGCGCACACA